ACCCTGATCATTGTAGTTGCCCTCCCCTCTCCCACCCTCTCTCTTCCCCTCTCCCACCTCCTTTTCCCAGTCTCCCCCAGTTTTGTTCAATAAAGAGATTCCATTTTTGAACACAATTGTCCTTTATTTTGTACATCAAGAAGAGGGGCTAGGGAAGGGTAAGTGGAAGGAGGTGAGGGAGGAAGGGGGTACGCGCCCCCGATGGGGAGGACTGGGCTGGCTCTGCGGGCTTCTGGGTGTGGAAGCTCTCCTGCAGCCCCCCAATGGCCCTCTCTCCCCAGATGGCAGCCTGCGGCAAGTGTAGCCGGGCTGATGGCCGAGTGCTGTGATGTGCCCACTGTGGGTACTCCGGGCAATCCAAGCCAGGACTGCTTTGCAAGCGGGGCACCCCTGAGAACTGTCTGTCCGGGGTGGGGGTCGGTTCCCTTTAAGCACAGCCCTCGGCTAGCCTGAGACAGCATCTCCACGCTCTAAGTCCTCCTCTGATGCCCTGCCGGGACTGCTTCCGGCCATCCTTAAGCCCGGTTCAGGATCCACTTAATGTGGACATGCTAGTTCGAATTAGCAAAATGCTAATTCCACGAGGAGTACAGCTAGTTCGGATTAGGAAGCCTAATCCGAACTAGCTACTCTGTGCCGCGTGTAGCCGAGCTGCACGGGGTTCGAACTGCCGGCATTTAAAAATGGCGCCGGACGGCTTCTTGCAAATGAAGCCCGGGAAATTCAAATCCCGGGCTTCATTTGCAAGTGCGGTATGCCTACATTACCCTCCTAGTTCGAATTAGGAGGGTAGTGTAGACATACCCTTGGAAATAAACTGAAAGAAATAGAGCAATTTTCACTTCACTCCTATTAACTTATTTCAGTTGTACATAAATCTTAGGTCTTTACTTGTATTCATGATAGATACATTTTCTGATCAAAATGTGGTTTAAGTCACTTCTTTCTCCTGAGTATACATGAAATATAGCCCGTGGCACTGCTTAAGTGGTCTCTACCTAAAATATCTGACCATGTTCCCTGAAGAAATATTAAATTAATGGGAAACGAACATCTGTAGAATCAGAAATAACAAGTTGTTCTGGACAATGATTTTTAAAGAACATTGATTCTCAGTTTAATATGCAGAAGAATGAGGTGTAATTATTGTGTGGAAGGTAGAGAGAAGTTAACTTTTAGTCATATAGAAGTACTGGTATTACACTGCCAAATGGATATGGACACGCTAGATGGCACAACTTGCTAGTCTTTCACCTGTGCTATGAATGCTAGCCATAGTGAAAGACTCGGTTGTAAAAATACCCACAGTTTGGAGATCTTTAACCTCTTGTTTGTCTTTATTTGAGGATAAAGTTCTGAAAGAGACCACTATATCTCATTTTAACCAACAGATGTCTCTTCTATAATGTGCCAATACAAGCTGCTTATTTCTATAAAATATTATAAATGTTTTTTCAAAGAGCTGCTTTTGAGCTGGTTAGGGGAGGGGTTGCCTATATTTTGTGCATAGCATAGATCATTTCAAATAAATTAATTTATGGAAATAAAGAAATTAATTTCTGGGTCCCATACGGTCAGACCTTCCAGAGGAGGTATTGCAGTGTTTGGTCTATTTTTAACTTAAAATCCTGACAGAATTCCTCAGACATTCAACTCAGTTGACATTGGCTGGTTTGGTTCCTAGTCTTAACATAATTTATCAAATCCTTTTGTCTTTGACCACATTGGATAGACCAGCTACTCATCACATGTTATGGCTTCCCAAATTTGACCTTCTTTTGTATTCTCTCCTGGCAGCAAGGATGGAGGAGACCACAGTGATCTCACACGTGTTCCTGTCCCAGCCCAGCTGTATAGGTGGTGTGCTCCTGAAGTGATCCTCGAAAAGGCCACCACAGTCAAATCAGACATTTACAGCTTCTGTATAGTAATGCAGGAAGCCCTAACAGGTATAGTTAAAGAGATTCAGAGTTCTGTCACTGAGGGTATGTATACATTGCAGTTACACACCTGTGGGTGGCATGTGACAGATGACTCAGACTCATGGAGCTTGGACTGTGTGGTTGTTTAACACAGTGTAGACTTCTACACTTGGGTTAGAGCTGGGACTCTAGGATCCTGTGCTAGAGCTCTAGGGAGGGTCCTAGAGCTCAGGCTGCAGCCTGAGGCCAAATGTCTACACAGCATTTAAACTGGCTGGAGTCAGGTGGCATAGGTTAGCTCCCCGTGTCTAATTGCAGTATAGACATCCTGAGTTATCATAAAGTACCCTGCATACACCAAGGCTACGTCTACATTGGCATGATCTTGTGCAAATACTCTTTAACGCAAGAGTTCTTGCATTAAAGTATTTGCGCAAGAGAGCGTATACACTGGCATGTGCCTTTGCACAAGAGATGTGCTTTTGCGCAAGAGCATTCATGCCAGTGTAGACGCTCTCGTGCACAAGAAAGCTGATGGCCATTTTAGCCATCGGGCTTTCTTGCACAAGAACAGTTGAGCAAGAGGGCTTATTCCTGAGCAGGAGCATCATAGTCCTTGCGCAAGAAGCACTGATTTCACACATTAGAACATCAGTGTTCTTGCACAAGAACTCTCTGCCAGTGTAGACAGGCAGCATGTTTTTGTGCAAAAGCGACTGCTTTTGCGCAAAATCATGCCAATGTAGACGTAGCCCAAGAGTTAGTGCTTTACTTAGATGATCTCATTCCCTCCTTTAATGATCAAGGTTTCCTACTTATGGAAAGGAGAGTTTCCAAGAAAAGAAGACATCATATATCTTATTGGCAAGATTCATGCTCCTCTAACCTTCTGTATAACCTGTTGATAGTTGGAGAGAAGCTAGGGGCACCCTTTTTAACTAGTGAAATACACATTGGATTCAGCAAAGTTTCTAGAGGGGCAGAAGAGTAATAATAGGTATTTTGCCTAACAGTGTTTGTTTCATTGTATAAACATTTCATTATGGGGTTGTCCTATAAACATTAATCAATGATGGGGAGGGAGGAGTAAGATGACAAAATTGGAGGTGACACAAAATTAGATAGGATGGTATAGATTGGAAAAGAGTGAGAGGAATTTTCAAGTTGTTACCTAGCTAAGTGAATGGGGAACAACATGGCAGATAAAATTCCAGACTGATAATCACAAGTGAATGAAGGAATAATTGAAATTAAAGGTATGTGCTGCTGGGATCTAAACGTAGTATAATAACTCAGGAAAAAGATATGAGCATTATCGTGGGGAAGTTAGGGTACGTCTAGACTACATGGCTCCGTCGATGGAGCCATGTAGATGAGTTTACTAGACATAGCAAAATGAAGCGGCGATTTAAATAATCGCTGCTTCATTTACATCAGAATGGCTGCCGCGCTGTGCCGACGATCAGCTGATCCGGCACAGCGGGCAGTCTAGACGCTCCGTGGTCGACAAGGGAAGCCTTTGTCGACCTCTCCGGTATGCCTGGTGAAACGAGGTAAATGAAGCAGTGATTATTCATTTTGCTATGTCTAGTTAAACTCATCTACATGGCTCCGTTGACGGAGCCATGGAGTCTAGACATACCCTTAATGAAAAATGGACATGCACTGTTTTGGTCCAAAAAGGAAACAAAATGTTAGGTTCCATAAAGAATGGGATAGAACATTATACTAAAAATATGATATGCAGATTTGTGGTGCATGCACTAGGAATACTGTGTTCAGTTCTGGTAATCTTATCTGAAAATTACATAGCAGAAATAAAAAGAGATCAGAGAGGGAGAGATGACAGTATCTTGGAAAAATTTTCAGACTAAAAGAAACTGAAACACGTGGGATTGCTTATTTTAAAGAGGATGCTGGAGGAGGAGGTAATGGAGATGAGGGAACAATGATTTACAGAACGTAAAAGCGGCCCTTTTTCCTATTTACCTTTCCTCGTAATGCTAACTCAAGAGGACAGTCAATGAAAATGTCAGATAACAAATTACATCGGATAAAAGAGAATCTTTCCTTACACAGCACACAATTAACTTGCGGAACTCATTGCTACACAGTATCATAGAGGCAAAGAGTATAGAAAAATTGTAAAAAGGATTAAACTTTTATATTGATAATGAGAACATCCACAGTTAGAGCAGATGGGATAAAAAAAAATTAACCAACCACTTCTGACAGGGAATAGGAAGAAATTTGCTTCCAGTGTTGGCTCCTGGCAAAGGCAGCATACTGGACTAGATGGAACGCTGGTCTGATTTACAGGGGCAGTTCTTTTTCTCTGAAGGGCCATCATGTTGTAGATAATATTTGTTATATGTCTTACAGAAACTCTTCCCTGGAATGGACTTGAAGGCTCAGGTATTAAAGAACTCATAGTTTCTGGGCAACATTTGGAAACTGATGTCAGGCTTCCTAAACCATACTATGACATTGCAAAGACAGGTCTAGAGCCTAAACAAAAGGACCGCTCCATGAGTCTCCAGGATATTTCATGTTGTAGATAATATTTGTTATATGTCTTACAGAAACTCTTCCCTGGAATGGACTTGAAGGCTCAGGTATTAAAGAACTCATAGTTTCTGGGCAACATTTGGAAACTGATGTCAGGCTTCCTAAACCATACTATGACATTGCAAAGACAGGTCTAGAGCCTAAACAAAAGGACCGCTCCATGAGTCTCCAGGATATTCGCTATATATTGAAGAATGACTTAAAGGTGACTCCCAGGATTGTAGCCTTTATGCTTTTAAAATTGTGTTTGGTTAATCAGAGTTAATTGTCTCCTAGAGGTCAAGTTAAGTCTGGCTCTGAGTTTTATTTATTTGGGCAAATCAGTTTAAAATAAAAGCTGAAGACATTGGAATGTAAAATACACTTCCCCTCACAGCTTTCCTTGTGTTATAGGACTTGATTGAAACTCGAATGGGTCACTCTGATGAAAGCTCAACTGCACAAAAGCATGACATATTTTCAGATATAAACATCTGTTTGCTGTCCACATCTAATTACAAGAGGGAAACGCTAAAGCTGCAAGGAGAGGCGATAGCAAAGACTGGTATGTTTCTTTTAATGGGGAGCATGCCAAGAGCCTTCACATAGATGTTTTCTCTTATCCCGCCAGGATGGAGGTGGACCAATCCAGATGACGTGGCCTTCAGTGCTCTAACAATTTAGCGCTGTTGGTAGCCATAGGCCTGTCCAAGATTTAGTAAAGTGTAACCTATCATTTGGAAGGTTTATCTCCACTGAGTTAAAGCCAAATCATGGAAATAGCACAGCTGCTGGAAGGAAGTCCCATAGATGTTTGGGGCAAGATATGTTTCTCTTCTTTCCTTATTCCCCTCTAAAACTGGTTGTGGAGAGCTGCAGTTGCCACACTCCCTCTCTGCAGAAAATAATTCGTTACGGAGACTCTTAATTATGGAGCCATCTCAACTCTCAGAGCTCCCTGGGCTGCAGAGAATATGCACCTATATGCAATGTCACCATAGACTCCTTTTGCTTCTGAAACGGTTTCACAGGGTTCAGGCTAGAGCTGGTTGCAAATTTTTTGTTGGAATGATTTCTGACAGAAAATGTCCTTTTTGTACAAAATTGAAATTTACCATGGAAACATTTAAGGTTTGCTGAATTTTTTTGATATTTTCATTGGGAAAATCGAAATGATTGCTATGTATCTCTCTGGCTTTTTTCTAACAATTGAGCTGGGATGGAGAAGTTGGGAGATGGCAAGAGAAGTGTTCACAAGAGTGTTCCAGATGGGTTGCAAGCTGAAAAAAATCCGTTTAGGTCTCCTGAAATGGAATCTTTTTGGAAGTCCTTTCCAGTGTAAAATACCCTATCTTTGGCTTTTTGGTCTGGCCTGTGAGGAAATTATTTTCAAAAATGTGAAATTTTTTTGTGAGAAATTATTTCTATTTTGTGTCCAGCTCTAATAAAGGTCCTTTACATACACATAGGAAAGAAAATGATAATTAACTATTGAAATGTGCCTCTTAGAGGTCAGCATAAAGATCTTGTGCCACATTTTGAAATGAATAAGGCATAAGTCTACTCGCCTGCCTCACAGTCCCCATTAAACAGTATCTACTTTTGAAGACAGTATGCGATGATAATAGGAGTGCTTATACACAGAGGGCTCGTCTACATTGGCCCCTTTTCCGAAAGGGGCATGTTAATTTCAGAGATCGTAATAGGGAAATCCGCGGGGGATTTAAATATCCCCCGCGGCATTTAAATAAAAATGTCCGCCGCTTTTTTCCGGCTTTTAGAAAAGCCGGAAAAGAGCGTCTACACTGGCCCCGATCCTCCGGAAAAAGCGCCCTTTTCCGGAGGATCTTATTGGGGGATATTTAAATCCCCCGCGGATTTCCCTATTACGATCTCTGAAATTAACATGCCCCTTTTGCAAAAGGGGCCAATGTAGACGTAGCCAGAGGGGTTAAATGCTACTACTTGAATAACAAAAAGGGATTTTAAATATGTAAACAATATATGTAATTGAGGCCTAAAAGAGTAGCTTAATACTAACATTAATTTTTCAGCTGTCAGCTTTACTGCACCAAGGTGTTCA